GGGCTCGGAGGAGCTGGGTGCAGGGCTCCCAGCTCGGGGTGGCCTCTGGGGGGGTTCCCTACCGCCCTGCTTCTCCTGAGGGCTGGAAAGCTGCCCCTGGCAATGTGCCGCCCCAAGCACCTGCTTGTTTTGCTGGTGCCTTGAGCCGGCCTTGGATGGCATTAAGAGATGAATCAAGAAGGTGGTGCTTTGGATCTGAAATAGATGTAAATTAGGATGTGGCCCAAGTCAAGGTTAGACTGCAAGTCTGAAGGTGCTAAACTCTGAACTGTCCCCTTAAGGTTTGTGTCTCTTAAGGTACATATCTTACTGTGTGTGTGTGTGTATGTATATATATATATATATATATATATATATAATAATCTAGATATTAGCACATTTATCACTTAATTAGTATGCTGCTCAAGTAAAGCAGACATCATTGTTTTAAAACTATTTGTGGCTTTGTCGCTCATCTGACTTCAGGCTCTGCCTTCCTATATATATATATATATATAATAATTTATTTTTGGCTGTGATGCACAACCAATACTGCAGGGCTAGTTTGGATTTTGGAGTCACTTACCCCTATCGACCTTGTGATGGGGTGTGGTTACAGAAGATCCCTTAAAATTTTTCCCTAGTGTGCTGATTATGCCACTGCCTTGCTCTTTTGGGGCTCTCCCCCATCTTGTCCTCCTGGCTAGAATCTCTGGTCTCCCCTCAGACAAATTTTGGGGTTACGGCCCACTGAACAGCAATGCAGAATGGGAACCACTTCAGCTCCAGGAGAATGCAGTTCTAGGGCACAGCACCCAGGTAACCAACTCTAAAAAGGGATCAAACCCCCAAATAAATCCATCTTTGTGTAGACGTTTTACATAAGGAACACTCATGAGGATTGTTACCTGCTTTATCAATGAAAGAGATACCTGCACACTCGTTGTCACTCTCCCCACCCCCAGTAACAATTACTTACACTGGGCCTGATAGTAAACAAAAGTGTACTTAACACCTATTGTGTTTTATTAAGTAGCTGTGAGGGAAAGCAGATTGCTTAAAGTTAGTTACTAATTTAAAATGAAAAGAAAACTCATAGCTAGTTCTAATACACTAAAATAATTAATGCAAGCAGATTCTTACCCTAATGATATGTTCTTTTGTTCTAAGCATAATCTTCAGGTCACAGACAACCTTTCTTACTCTGACTTGGGTCCTGACCCTCTATGTTCTTCCAGGGTTTTCCAGACAAGCTGAAATCAAAGGACTGAATCTTTTATTCTACTTCCCCTTTCCAGGAAAAATACCTGGGTCAAAATGGAATCCCAGTGCCAGGTTGCGTGGTTACATGTCTTACTATCCAAGCACCTTTGGACTTACAGTACAAACAAGGGTTTTTACAAGTTAAGTTGATCACCAAATTGTTAAGGCTTCGTGGGGGGCACCAGTAATGGCTTTCATTAGCACATTTAAAACTATAAATAGCCTCATACTTGATATTTTTAACTTGACATACAAGAATGATACATGCACCAAAATAGGATATATAGATCCCAGCAGACTGCAACATGAAAATAGATCGGTTACATGAGGTATTTTGTTTAGAGCATCACTGAGTTATGCATCTTTATATTCATAAGCCAATTTTCATAAAATATTGTGAGGGGGAGGAGGCTGCCACACACCTGTACTCAAATTTTTTTAGGGATTTGAATTCTAGGGTTAGCTTTCTTGCATCTGCATCTGGTTTCTGATTTTCAGGAGTTGAGAGCTCTTGACTAGGTTACTTGGAACTAGGCAAATGTTATGAATAGAATAAAGTGGAAGAAAATTAAGTTTGGCATTAAGGAATTGACACAGATTAAGAGACTCTTGAATTTGAATCTTTAATGAGAATTAATATGTCTACAAACTTGTGTCCTTGTTAGCATAGTTAAAATTTAGTAATGATACTGGAATAGATTACTGTCACTGACTTCAAAGGGCTCTTTAGTTACCGGGGCATTTTCTTTGCTCTTTAGAGGAACGGAGTCTTTCTGTTCTGCTTTATTTAAAAGCTCTATCAAGACTTGTAGGCACTGCAGAGAAATTAAGAATCTTTCAGTAGAAATCCTTTTTTTGTAAGCAAGCTCTTGAAGTCTCAAAAGTGAAGGGATTAATGTAGTCTTCATGATGAACTTTTTATAATATTTGATTGTGGCTCAGCGCTGCCCTTCAGAAATATTTTATTAAATTGATCAAATTATTGCAGAAAGAGCTCTAAATATAAGGGCTATATCCTATTAACTTTTATGTATGTTCTATTTAAAGCCTATAATAATTGAAATGAGGCAAGCAAATTTTTGTCAGTATGTTGTGTGTGGCTTTTTGTTAAAAGAAAAGACTGAACTCCTGTACTTCCATTCCGTTTCTGCAGTTCTTGGCAGGTGGTCTTATGTATTGTCCCTAACTAAGAGACCGTCTTTACATTGGCTATAGCAGGGGTTAGGTAAATGTTTGCATTGCATGGTATTCAATATCCTTCACTGACTCAAGGGAAACTTAAGTGTTGCATGCTGTTATGAAACTTTGTCCATGCCCGCTAAAGTGAATTTTAATTTAACCATCTGTGTCTTTTTTTTCCTTCCCCCAACAGCTGGCTTACCCCTTGGTGTTCTAAACTTGGCCAAAATAAAGCCATATCAGAGAGGCTTTTTCTGTAATGATGACAGCATCAAGTATCCATTCCATGACAGTACCATCACATCCACTGTCCTCTATTCAGTGGGGTTCACCCTGCCCATTTTCTCTGTAAGTAGCTGAATTTCTAGCCATCTGCGTGTGGGGGAAAGACTTAAGAGGGTTCCAGGAGGTCATCATTGTAATAGCATTTTGGAGTCAGAGAGATGGTGTAAACACTGGAGAAATGTAAATATATAGCCCTATATTTTTGTTGATTGCTGTGTGTAATGTGTGGTGGGCCTTCCCTAGATGGGGGCTGCTGCAGCAGGCCTACCCCCTTGCTCAAGATGGGCAGGGAGCTGCTCCAGCCCTACTGGTTAATCTTTTACATCTCTATGGAAAAAGCCATATGTAACAAATGAAGTCCCTTGTTCTACAGACCTTGGTATGTGAGCAACTCTGCTTCATAATGTATATTGTCTGCAGGGGTTAACACTTTTCATAGACCAAAAGATACACATGATGAATTCTTGGATCCTTCAGAGCCTACCTGCAGGGAGACTTGGGTGCTTAGAATCAAATTAGATGGCTTGCAGAAAAGGGGCTGTGTGCTGTGATGTTACGTAAATTACCAAGGAACAAGTTGCCTAGTTCAGAGTAGTCCTTGATTTGAAAATGTTTGTGGGTTGTGGAGTTGTTTTGTTTTGTTTTTTATGCTGACCATTTCATGTTAGAAACATTCTTAATCTCTGTTAGTCTTTTTAATCATGTGGCAACATGCTAAGACTCCAGGTGCTAAACTAGTCACTGTGAAGTATCTTAAAGAATTTCAGGGGTGGAAGTGGCTATTTAAAGCAAACAATAGCATTACATAATCCATTGACTGAGGAGAGATTACAGAGCTTCACTGGCAACCGAGGATGGTTGAGAGGAACTGGCGGGTGGGACCGGACTGTGCACGTTAGAGAGGGTGTGAATGCTGCGAACTGCTGCACGCATGCGTGGTCTGTCCAATATCTTCTGACCAGCGGCACCAGGATGGACCTGACACCTAGAGTGGAGCACCCACGGGGACCACTTGAAGAATTTGGAGTACAGGAGGGGTTCTGAGCTGAGCTTGGGGCAGGCAGTTGGGGTCCTGGAGGGGGTTCTAGGTGGAGGCTCTGAGAGGGCATTGGATGCAGAGTACTTGAGGCTAGAGCAGGGACGTGGGATGCAGGAAGGGTTCATGACTGGGGCAGGGTTTCAGGATGTGCGCTCCGGCTGGGCCCTGCTGACCTCAGGTGGCACATGGGTGGTGGTGCAGTGGGGCTAAGGCAGGCTCACCCCTGCCCTGGCCCTGCTCCACTCTCAGAAGCAGCCAGCTTACTCCCTCCATCCCAAGTCCTGTTGTGTCCCCTCTCTGCTCTGTGGAGATGGGATACAGAGAGGGAGGGGCACCTTGACATCAGCACCCTCCTCTCCTTCCTCTGTCCAACAAGCAAGAGGCTCCTGAGAGGACCGCTCCAAGGCAGAGGGCAGGAGCTGCGCAGCAGCACAGGGAAAGGCAGCTGAAGTGCTGGCATTTGATAGCCTCTTGGCTGAATCAGTCAGGATCACCTGTCAGAGGCTCCAAGATCTACCAGTAGATCCCGATCTAGTGGTTGGTGACCACAGATGTAAACTGTGTATTTTACTTAATGCCAACCAGATACTGTATATGCATGATCACTCCTTTAGCAGCACTGCATTGCATTTGCATTTTGTGCAGATAGAAGGCTAGATCTTATGACTGCCTTCTGAAAATAGATAAAAATGGTTAAAGAAAAGCTCTACAAATGTTTCAGGAAAGGAACGAACATATAGCTCTAATACACTAATTTGTAGAGCTGTCCAGTTAATTTCAGTTAATGCTCCACTCTAAAAATTAGCTAATTAACAGTGATTGATTAGTTTTTATCACTGTTTAAAAAATACTGTCAATTGAAATGTATTCAATATTTTTTAATTGTCTACATACAGTGCACAAAAGTGTACAGTGTTCAATTTATATTTCAAATATTTGCACTGTAAAAATTATAAGAAATACTATTTTTTAATTCACCTACTACATTTTTAAGTTGTACTATAGTACTTGTATTTTTTGGGTTACATAACTGAATTAAAAAAATGTGAAATTTTAGAGCCCACAAGTCCACTCCATCTTACTTCCCCCTCCCCCCCCCCCCATGTAATTGGCTGAACAACAATTTGTGGGAGATATCACCTGAAAGTGAGAACAGGTGTTCACATGGCATTTTGTAACTGACTTTGCAAGTGTGTATGTGCCAAATACAGGTGGCCCCTGACTTGTGATGCGATCAGTTCCTAGAGAAGCGTTGCAAGTTGGGGGCATCATAACTCAAACCCTCATTTATGATAGGTGTCGTGCTGCATTGTAAATGCGAGTCGAGGATGTAAGGGGAGTTTTTTTGGCCCCTTCTGCACTTATAAAAATAGTTGTAAGTACGGAGGGTTGCAACACGGGGGTTTCCTGTATGCTGAACATTGCTATACTCCTTCATTCTTTGGTAATCATTCCAGAGGACATACTTCAATGCTGATTATGCTTATTTTTATGAAAAAGTATTAATTAAACTTGTAATTGAACTCCTTGGGGTAGATTTGTCTCCCACTCTGGTTTACCCCATTCTTTTGCACTTCATGTTAGCATGTGTTCATTTTACTGACTTGCTGTTTTATGGTTAGTGTGTCTTAATGCAAAATTCAGAATTCATAGAGGAAGCAAACTTTAATCTCAGTAATCAAAGTGAAACTTTGCAGAAAAGCATGATTCAAGTATGTAATATAAAAAACAGTGGGGAAAAAACTCCCCCATGGATTATCACAAAGATGCAGGCTTTATCAAGTCTTAACATTTATTAGCCAAGATACAGTAGATTTCTTAATCTTTTTCAGGCGTACTTGTGAAGTCACCCATATGGGCACAGGTGAAAGGTGAACTTGGTAACTACTAGGGGTGTGTAAAAAATTTTAAAACTATTAACCATGTAACCAATAGAATTTCTATCGGTTACATGGTTAACTGCAGCTCCCGACAACCATATGAAGAGTTTAACCCATGCTGGTAATTATCGATTAACCAGTTACCCATTTAAACTCTTGTATCCCTAGTAACTACATGTACATTTTTCCATGATGAAAAGAGAGAATTAAGAATAGCATAAGAAAAAAATGTAAAATATACACAATAATATGAAATCTATTCTTAGACCTGAATTAAAAAACAAACCTAAAAATGGTCTCACCATCCCAAGCTTATTTGGGCATTAAGTCTTTTTTTCCTTTTCAGACGGGAGGAAATCAGGTTTAAGCCTGCTGTGACACTAAGTTATAGAAGACCTGTTGTAACTGTTAAGGAAAAATATTTACACCTATGTATTACTTTTTAGGTTGTATGCCTGAAATAACTTTAACTGCATAGATTTTATTGTTGACTTAAAACCAATCTGCTTCCTGAAGCTAATACTCTGTTCAGTTTATAGGACTTTGTATGCAAACCCTGCAATTCTTGGCTTTCGCTTCTTCAAGTGCTTGCTTATGTCCATTCCACCTAGGTGCGCATGAGTTGCAGAAGCATTTTACTCTTAGCAGAACTTGTTGGGTCAGCCAGGGAGACCTCTGGGGTGGCACTGCTGTAACAGCACACACACATCCCTGCTGGCCCTCTACTCCCTTCAATTCCTTCTTACAGCCCATGAGGGTTGCTGGAACACTTGGCTTGCTCTTTTTAAAGTGCGCCTTTAGCATTCGTTACCTTATTTGTAAATAGCTCCATCTTGTAAATAATTAGTTTAGTAGCTGTTAAGTGAGGAAACTACAAAACATCAGTAATCTTCCTGAACATACCATCCTGGCCACCATGGACATAGAAGCCCTGTACACCAACGTTCCACATGAAGATGGATTACAGGCTATCAGGAACACCATCCCCAATGACAGCACTGCACACCTGATTACAGAACTCTGCCACTTTTGTCCTCACCCACAACTACTCCTGATTTGGTGACCATTTGTATCTTCAAGTCAGCGGCACAGCCATGGGCACCCACATGGCACCAAAATATGCCAACATCTTTATCGCGGACCTTGAACAACGTTTCCTCCGCTCTTGCCTCCTAACACTTTTACTCTGCATATGCTACATCGATGACATCATCATACGGACCCACGGGAAGAGACCCTTCAAGAATTTCACAAGGATTTCAACAACTTCCATCCCACCATCAACCTCTGCCTGGATCAGTCCACCGAGAAATCCACTTCCTTGACACTACAGTACAATTAAATGATGGACACATTTTCACCACAGTATACCGGAAACCTACCAACTGCTACACTTAGTTTCATGTCTCCAGCTTCCATCTCATACACATTTCTCAATCTATTGTATACAACCAAGCCCCAAGATACAACTGGATTTGCTCAGACAAAAACCTACAGGATCTATATAAAGCATTGTTAAAACTGAAACACCCACCTAGAGAAGTGGAAAAAACAAATTGACAGAGCCAAAAAATTACCTAGATATGAACTCCTTCAAGACAGGCCCAAAAGAGAAAACAACAGAATTCCACTTGTCAGCACCTACAGTCCACAACTTAAATCCCCCCAACTCATTATCAGAAATCTACAACCTATCCTGGAAAATGACCAGTCACTCTGAGGCCTTGAGGGAAAAGCCAGTTCTCGCTTATAGACAACCCCCTAACCTGAAACAAATTATTTCCGGTAACTATGCAACACAGCTACATCATAAGCATTCAGGAACTCACCCCTGCAATCAGCCCCAGTGCCAGCTATGCCCACACATCTACACAAGTGATTTCATCACTGAACCCAACCATATCCGCCACCAAATCAGAGGCTCATTTAGCTGCTCATTTAGCTGCACATCCAGTAATGTGATCTATGCCAGCAATGCCCCACTGCATGTATATCGGCCAAACTGAACAGTCTCTACGGGAAAGAATTAATGGACACATCAGATACCCAAAAAGGCAGCACAGACCTGTTGAACACTTTAATCTTCCTGGACCAACCAAACAATGAAGGTGCTAACGGAAAGGAAGATGACCAAAACCAGATTC